GATGGAAGATAATGAGGAAATCATTGACATAATGAATTATGGTAGGTATTCCTTGCTGGTGTGCAATCCATATTAAGATATCAGCAAAATGACAAAAGATACTACCAGAGACTCGATTTCCACTTTGTCAAAGTATATATTGTCTTCGTGTTAGATGCCTTGTGGAATTTAAACAAAAGATACTACCAGAGGCTCGATTTCCGCCTTGTCAAAGTATATGTTGTCTTCGTGTTAGATGCCTTGTGGAATTTGATCTACTGGGTGAACAAAGAGTATTTGATAGGCATCCTTTATATCTACCTTGGATAGAGTACATCCTTTTCTGAAGTGATTTATCTAACAGATCACATGACTAATATTTTCTTATTTTATTTTTTATTTTTTTGGTATTAAGGTGACCTCTTTGGCCTGGGGACTTTTTATTAGAGAACTAGATAACGGTCTTATAATGTAATTACAACGATGGTACATCAAGCCACACATGCACCTTTTGAGTGCCTAATTTAAGTAGTCTGCCCGAAGGTTCTACACTATCTGCCATACCTGCACTCCAACTAAGGAGGTACCCATTTAAACCATCTGGTTATAACTACCCACCATCGCCCCTCTAACCCAAGGTATTACCTCACCATATGTTAGTGGATTTCAACATTTACCCCATGTGGATTTCGCACCCTACCTTAGGACTTACTAACCACAATTAGATTTACCAATCCCTGTCTTAAGACTAACTAACCATATATGGCTAATCTATCCTCGAGGTAAACCTAACAGAGCGGTACATGTCTCACACATGTATTCACCTGCATGTTTCTATAACTTCTTCTAATTAGTACATATTGACCTGCCATTCTGTATTAGTATCTCATGCCACCTTTTGGGTGCTGCCTTTCTACAGATGTTTTTCAAGCACTAACCTTCCTAACTAGGTGCCCATTACATACTTCTTGCCCTTATCCAGTTCACAACAACTCTGATACCCATATTCAGACCGTCTTCTTACTCAGATTCTTTATCAGTCCATCTCTTACTTCCAGCCGGCAACCCAGAAGGGTTGGTCTGCCCAGGCTTTAGGTACCTGAAGGATACCCTCCCTTTTGTCCATACTTTTGAAGCATATATCCTTTTTCTCCAGTGCGACAACCCGGTGGTTCAGCTGGTGTGTCCTCCACCATAGGACCTGGTTGCTTAGTTCTTCGATCTTGTGCCCTGTTCGAATTTAGCCATCCTGTGATACCGTCAAAGGTCACTGCTATCTCCAGATTTGGATCTTTCCAAATGGGTTTTTGGTTATGCCAGTTTCTCGGATTTGTTGCGCCAAAACTCCCATTACTAGATGGTGTGACCGAAGTTACGGATTATAGTTCTAGATCCAACCAATAAGCATAACCATCAACCAAACACAGGCCTATTTTTCAAATATCGTCGCCAGTGGGATTTGAACTCTAGACCTGCTACTTGGAGAGGGTGACAACTAGACCACTACACTAAGTCACCACACCTAACATTCTCTTATTTTGTAGTAAATTTGAATTTGTAGATTCTATTATTTATACTATTGTTTGGCAGGGATAATAAGTGTGAAATAACTCAATATACAATGGGGTGGGGTTTGTATCTTTCTTTTTGATCAGTCTGCAAGGGTTGGTTTGAAATAAGTCGCATGGTGGGTTGTTCTTGTGAAAGGGGCTGCATATGCGCTTGTTTGTGCAAAAGCATCGGGAGCAGTGTTAATTGATTGTAATTTGTCCTAAATGAGTTTAGTTCTGGGTCCTTTGAAATTGAACCTGAAACTTTGTTTAATGCCATCTGTAAGGTAGTTAATGAGTGGGCGATTAGGATGGGACAATGTCAAGTATTTGAAAGCTGCCAGGTTTATAGAAGTTTGTACATTAAAATGCAGTACGTCTAGCTACACCAATAGCTTTGACTCAGTGACTGATAAAAGTAAGTTTGGGGAGGTATTGCAGAGATAGTTTCATTTACTGACTGAAGAATAGAGGCTTGATCTATTGTAATGTTGCAAGAAAGTTTAAATTGAGACGTGTGTTGGTGGTACATATTATTGTAAGAGGCTATAAATATATATATTAAGAAGAGATTCTAGTTAATTTGGCTCTGATCAGATATCTGCAGTCTGTTTTGTCTGATGTTACATGTGTGAAATATTAACTTTCCCCTTCCTTTTTTCTTTTTATTTTTTTTCTGAAATGCTTTCTAAGTCAGTTTTCTTATTATTATTATTATGTATATCTCGTATATGCGTTCTCTTCTTTTTTTTTAAAAAAAAAAAATTAGCATGATACATTTGAGGTATGAACGTATATAATATATATCTATATATGAATGCAGCCATCTAGATTATATTCATTTTTTTTTTTATATATATAGAATGGTTTTGTATATATATATCTATATTTATTTATATATATATATATTTTTTATGTTAGTGTTATTTAGCTTTGTATTGAGACTCCTGTCTTTGGCCTTCCTATGGTGTGTGATTATACATATTCTTGTTGTTTTTTTTTTGCTGATGGAGGTGGTATTTCTATCTTGTCACTAGTCATGCTATTCATGTTTTGTATATATATTGTTACTGCTATTTGTTGTTGGTGTTTTGAGCTTAATTTGCAGGTTGCTTATTTGATGTGGACGGATTATAAAAGCATCTCCATTGTAGATATCTGGTTTTCTTACAAGTTAGGCATGCGTGAACACATTGGCAGTTGTTGTCCTCTGGGCAACCTTTGCGGTTCCAATTAATGCATATCAGCCTTTCGTCTGGCCAACTAGTATTGAACTTATTATTGTTGTGCTGGATATTTGTATGATGTTTCTTTGTTGTGGAGACGTCAAAGTTGTCACTCTCAGCTTCGATATTATGGCCCAGTAATGTTGTGACTCGATCTATTGTGTGATGTAATCTTCTGTCTTCATCATAAGCGACTACTGTGATGAAATCTTGTCCTATGCACAAGATGTTGATATTGTTGTGGTATTAATTTAATTCCTGTTCTCTGATGTTATAGATAACTAGCACTGCATCTATATATGATTTAAATGTGGGGAGCCACTCTGCTATACTGGTAAACCTGTTGGGATGTGTGCGTTTCCAGATAGAGATGACTACCCTCTGCAGTCTGAAGTGTTTGTTCATTATCATTATACTTAAGGTTTGCTTTTAGATAATTGTATGCAAATTCCTGTAAATCGATATAAGACCCAAATGTGATGGCCTTCCATAGTTGTTGGGATAAACTCAGCTTGTTTGGTAACATTTCGATGATTTTTTGGCTTTCAAATCAATTAAGGACCCACCATAAGCATATTTTTTTCAATGCTGGCAGCATAGGTATTGTTAATTCCATAGGTAGGTGGAAAATTACTGACACTAGAATAATCAAAAGCAGGGTATTTCCAGATTGTTGTTTTAACTTTAATTACTCCATTATGGGTTGGGGTCATTTGTAGAACGTCATTTATCAGGTCGCACAATTCGCGCTCTGTGCTGGTAGAATTAATTATAAGGTTGTGTTCCCTTTCAGTGTTCTGTCTCTTGGCCTGTAAAGGTGTTGTTGAATTATGATTGTGGTTGTGACTAGATGCAACAATGTTACTGTGTCCAGTACTTGTTTCAGGTTGAGATTTGGAAGCCTAATGGTTGAGGCAAGATTCGATTTTTTATTTAATTTGTTGATAAGATCTATTTGTGTAGCCATGTTTTGATTGATGGTATCGATTATTGCATTTGACGATGCCTGACATGCAGAGTCGATATAAGCTTTTGTATTTTCAAATATTTTTGAGATATTGATAGGTTGTACGGAGCGATTGATGTTTGTTTTGCTGGTAAGACTCGGGTTTGTATTGTTTTCAGAATTTTTTTTTTTTTTTCAAGTGAAAATTGCTTAACATTAAGATACGATTTTATTGAAGCAAGAGTTTTGGCCACACTGTGGCAGTGATATTTATAGACATCGTACGTTATGCATTTTGTATTACCCCTGTGTGGTTGGTAGCTATGGTGTAATATTTTCTGGTCATGCGCATGTGGTGCGGGGCCCAGGTCAGTGCTTGACCCCATTTTTCGAAAAATTGACTTACGTCAATACTCATTTTTGACCATATCGATAATATTTTTGCCCAAATCGAGCGGGTCCCTGATCAGATGTTATGTAATTCACGTGATTGCACAGAAAACTTGGAAGTGTTTTTCATGTTCAAACAGAAAAAATTCCTGCAAAAATTGTAATATATAATACAACAAACTAGATTCTAACTTTAAAGAGGATAAATTTCCAAACTATTCAAATAAAATTGTCAAAGAACATATGAACATGAGCACTATTCGGATTAGTCCATGCCAAGTCCAAATAAAATTTTTATTGTACCTAGTCCGAATGCCAACATTGGTTATCTTCATATACATTTAGCTGCTTATTTTTTCGTAATTTGCAAATCATCATAAAAACCGCCTATAATAGTATAAGCTATAAAGCAATAATTTTCATACTATAATCAGCACATTTCTTAAACTTTTAAATTAGGTGAAATTTGAGCATCGCAAATGATTGAAGGTTCAATTAGAAATATTTGGTATACATTTGGATAAAAAGCATATGGGATTGGGTCAATAGAAATCAAGCAAATTTTTTATAATAAAATAGTTTATAAATAGAACACTTTACATAATTTTTCTAAAACTAATTTTTACAAACTTGTAAAATTAAATTAAATTATTCAAATTTTGGTTTTATTAAATCATTCTTGAAAGTTTAACAAAAAACTTATTAAAAAATATTTGCTTGATTTATATTGACTTAATCCCATATAATTCGATACCAAATTTTGTATAAAAGTCAAAATTTATCGGACATTTAGAATTTGAGAATTACCAAAGTGAATGCCAAAAAACCCAAATGCCGATATGATAAAATAGATGAATAATAAATAAATAAATAAATATTTAGCTAGTGAAGAGATCAGCCAATTAGTATCTAAAATTCGGAAAAATCGTCTTCTTTCCATATGATCGTGACATCTCTAATAGCAACACTATGTAATCCTTTAAAGGTTTGTTCATAAGTTCCATCTTTAAATGGTCTATCGAATGGATATCCCAACGGTCTTTCATCAGGAATTTTATCAGCCCATTTTTCTGCTCCACATAGAGTTGTACTTCCACATTGATCATAAAGTGGGACCAAATCATTTGTACCGTCCGAAATAAATACTATCATTTTAAATTTTATACCTTCGCCTTTAGTACCCCTAGGTAAAATCATATGATATGGCCATCCACAGTTACAAAATAATTTTTCGGAAATATTCTGAGTAGTGAGCGGTGAAAACGTTGCTATGACATCAGGTATGATTTGAGATTCGTCAAACTGGCTCTCAGTCTTTTGAGCTGGTTTACGAATTATAATGGACTTGTCAGCTTCACGAACAATAACAGTTTTTTCAAGTGGTTGGAGAATCCTTTTAAATTTATCTAGTTCAATCCAATGAATTGTTGAATCGGCAAATATTTCAGGAACAATAAATATTCGGAATGTAATAATTGATGTCTTTTCAAAATAAAAAATCAATTTGTGTGAATTTTTATGGAGCCTGAAATTATACAAACTATCATTCAATTTAAAGTAATAATACTCACAGCATTAACTTCGTTAGTGACTCGTAGAAAATAATGCCAATCTCTAGGAAACACGTAAGAGATATTTTCTTTGTCAAACAAGTCTTCTCTCCATACATATTCTCTATATTTCATTTTAGTATGAAATTCATTGGTAACAATTAAACTATTTGTGAAATCAATATCAAAGTTACTACCACCAAAAGTTTTTTTTCCAAATTCACTCCATTCATCTTTCTGACCATCTGGATAAACCTTGAAGAGTACATCTGTGAAAGTAAGTATGATATCGGTAGTGCGGATGGTTACATTTGGTGCATCGTGATGAAAATCGGATGGCCCAAGATAATTCTGCCATCTCAAATATAAATCGTCGAGTTGACGATGCCATCTAAAAAATACTGGATCTCGTATTCCGGCACGTGCACCGGTAAGTACACTTGGCGGATCTGAATTGTAAGAAATTATGTGAATTAAAGAATGATCATTTAAAATCTTGTGATCAAATAAGTACTTACAACCAATTGTGTAAGGATGCATTATATAACTTAATAATTTATGTCCAAACTTATGTAAAGTTTTTTCTATATCAAGGCCCAAAACATTAGCATCGGAATCAACCCACCTTAATGGGTTCAGATGTTTAACGTTTGTTCCTCCATCAATCCATTCAATTAATGATTGTCGCTCATCTTCTAATTCTGAAACGGCATAAACACCAACTTTTCCATTAACTACTTCAACTATAATTTTTAAATTTTTTGTGAGATTTAAATTATTGTTATTAATGCGTAAAATGTTAGTAAAAAGATTACCGATATCATGTAATGATAAATTAGCAGGACGAGACGGAAAATGAGCTTTTTCATCATTCCAATCTTGCACTAAGTATGGATGTGAATAAAACGGTTCGGGTATTGGTGTTACATAGTCGGGTAAAGCCTTTACTTTTTCCAACCCTATACAAAGGCGGTCCGCGTCATATCTGTGAGAAATGAAATTTTTTTAAAAAAAATTTAACAACGTTCTATGTATATATTATTGTATTATTACCTAGCTAAAAGCTGCCTATGCGTGTAAATAAAATTTTCTCCTTCTCTGTTCCTTTTATCATCATCAATTTTTGGCATTACCTTATGCCAATGTTCATGAAACTGATTCAATACAGGATCATTTCTCCACCAGAACATTTCATCTAATTCCGGATCATAAACATCTTTATCTGGCCATCCATTTGTATTAAGCTTCGCTGGTGGTGGATTGTGAATAATATTTCTAAATCTAGCCAACTGTAATGCTATATTCACTATTGCATCTTCCGTCGTTGTGTTTGTCGGTGATGTCCCATATGTTAAGTTTTGTGCGTTTGTGTCAGTATCTACACGCTTAAAGATACGGGTTTTTCTAATTAATGGTTGCGGATTACGTTTGCGAATTTTCGGCATATAAACTAGGCCGTAATAAGATAATTCTTTTTCTAATGGATCTGCTGATCTTTCGTTATCTCGTTTATGTTCAACATCATATTTAAAAGTTCTTTTTAATTTATTTTCTAATATTTTTACACAGCTCTTTTAAAATGTTAGAATCGAAAAGATAGTGTAATTTATTATCACTAAATAATACAATGTCGGATCCTTACCGGAAAAGCTTTGTTATCTTCTTCGTAACAAGCATTATAAGTTGGTACCCTGGAACTTAACATTGTTATTATTCAAAGAAATTGTAAAAAATAAGGAGAGATATTTCTTTGAAATAAAATATAAGAATTATGAATCGTAGATAAAAAAAAAAAATTGAGAAAAATTGTTTTAAGCAGGATCTGGGAATTCATTTTATCGTTTGAATGGCTTTGTTGTTGAAACCTGCTTAAAAAAAAAAAATAAAAAAAATAAAAAAATGTATATTGATATGTATCCCAAATAAAAAAACAGAAACCTTGTTTATAAAGATTTTCACGATTTTGACGTTCATATTTATAAAACTCATTTATAGAAATTATTTTGTGGCTGTTCGTTCCACTCGACAAATGAAAAAAGAAGGTAACAATTATTTATTTGTCGTTTTACGCCATTATCGAATATATATATATTTATAATTCAATCAATTTCTTATTTCTATTTTGAAATTCCGAAATCAGAAAACGAAGATTAATTTGAAATCAGGAATCTGAACATTAATTCCGAATCATCTATTATTTAGAATGTAAGTGTTTATTTATAATAGTTTCTTACTAGCACTATTAACGAGGTATTAACGAGGCTTTTTGAAGGAGTACGAAGATTAGTAATTTTTCGTACTCCATCCTTATTAATAGTGCTAGTAAGAAACCAAATTTGCGATTTACTATGAAAATTTCCTCTTAGCGACTTATAATATTATTAATAATTTATACTAAATCTAGGGTATTTTATCACTATCGCAAAATTGTACGATTTCCATAAATTGTGTCGATAAAAAAATACCCATAATAGAAAGTATAAAACACTTGAGAAATATTTAATATTTATAAAGTTTTGACAAGTCAGAGCAAAAAAAAAAAAAAAAAAAAGGTGGTTCAGTTTTTTAACCGAAACGGTAAACTCTCTATTCATTTTTTTACTATTTAAAATTTTTCTTTCACGTAATAAACTACTTTATTTATCTTAATGACAAGCTCGATTGATAATTAGAAATAACGCACCTAGTATCACCACCAAAATTCTGTACGTAATCAGGTGTTAAATTTCAATCTAAGCATAATAACAACAAAATCACGATATTTTCGAAGTTTATTATCAATATAAGCATTATAATAACAAAGTCACAATATTTTCGAAGTTTATTATTAAAATTTACTTAATTACCACTGCAAATTCTAAGTCGATTCAAATATTTAAATGTATTTATATTTAATTCAATTTTTTTTTTAATACACGTATAAACTCAGTAAATTGTGTTTTTGTTACGACCGCTCCAAGTTTTTGGAAGCTTTTTTGCTCGTTCGAAATCTTTAATTTTATCCACCATTATTTGGATAGGTTTAAAGTTCGATTCAATGCTTCGAAGCCATCTTTTTTGTTTAGGAAGATTATTAGATTTTTCAAGACAATCGAGTGCCTAAAACATAAAATATATTTATATAACATAATATAGCGATAATAAAAAAAAAATCTTATACCTCATGAAGAGCTTTTTTGTACTTTCTTAAAATTTCAGATTCGGATTCATTATCTTCAGCATTCGTTCCTTATTATATATGATTCATTTTTCTGGATTCACAAGGTCAATCCTTAAAGTATTTTGTGCATGATTAATTAAAATTTGTCGAATATTTTCCCATAAAGTTTCCTTTGTTTCCGAAATAAAAAGATTCTGAGAATTTCGTTGCACCTAAATTAAAATAAGAATAAATTTGAACTTTTTTTTAAAAAAAAAAATAATAACAGACCTTTCGAAAAAATGATGCATCCATCTTCCCAAGAGGATTAACAAGGTGTTTGCAT